GAGTATCAAAACGTCTCTCGGAAGACACAGAACGGAAGAGGAAGAAGTCCCGTAAGGATAAGTACTTGGTGAAACTCAGCCACACATAGGTGTCGCTACTTGTTAGGAAACGTCCTGAATACGTATTTCCTAACACCTCCTCTTATTCATGACGTTATCCTCAACATTTCAAAATATGTTGAAATTTTTGTCCATGTCCATGTTAAACTCTTCGTGAGCAAATCAATGACCTGCTCATTTGATGGAATGTAATTGACAGTTACGTTTCCTGCCTCTTGTTCTTGTCTGATTCGATGAAAACGAACTCCAATATGCTTAGTTCTTCTGTGAAATTCCGGATTCTTAGACATGGCTATTGCTGCTTGATTACCTACTTTTAATTCAGTCTCCCTTATTTGTTTTAGACCGAGAGATTCTAGTAGTGGTCGCAACCACAATAGCTCTTTCAATGCTTCCGAAATTGCCATGTATTCTGCTTCCGATGATGATAAAGCTGTAACTCTCTGTAGACTTGATGACCAGGCTATCGGTCCACCATGTAACATAAATATATATCCAGACGTAGACTTTCTTTCCGCTAAGTCACCAGCATAATCAGAATCGCAGTATCCAACTTCCTCTAGAGATGGTAAAGGAAATAATACTTGGTTATCTGCATCCGCTGTATCTTTTATCAAAACGTCGGAAACCCTTTGTACGATCTTCTTTACAGGATCATAAATTCGGTAAATTTTATCAGTTAATCGATCATATCCTACAAATATTGTTTTCTTGGCTTTAGGATCCATCTTTTGTCTCATTGAGTCAGGAATATGTACAAAAGCTTTTGCACCATTTCCTTACGATTTGTAACGGTTCTATCATCGTTTCTTTCCTCTTCCGGCTTAATTGCAATGCCACCTGCGATTTCCCATATTCGATGAAATGGCTTTCCAGAGCGTCTCGAATTTCAATCTTCCAGCGACTATATGTTACCTTCGTAAGCTTCGTTACTCGAATATCTCGAATTATACCTTCCACTTACCTTGAAACTTCTTGTCAATTGCCTTTTGGACTTGTCTGTTCGTTGACTTTGATTGAGCTTTGAATACTTCATGCGATATGTCATCCGTGCGTTCTGCAAAACTTCTTTCTGTATTTGTCAGCTTTTCTAAGAAAGATTCCAATGATACATTTTCTGATAAAAGTGACCAACTCGTTACAAAATTATCAAACTCTTTCGGTAAACAACCAAGAATTTTTGCCATTAGAAGTTTTTCATTGAAACTTCTACCAAAATCTTCTGACTCTAACGCTTCAATTCTACGAGTAATTACCTTGAGTCCTGCTACAAATGTACCAACCGTGCTATCTGGCTTCCACGTATAAATAAAAAATTCACGTAGCAGTTCTAGCAGAACATTTAAGTCTTTGGCTCATAAATCGTCTTAATCCTTTTCATAATATCCGCCGATGATTCACAGTCACATACTTGGTCAAACGTCGTATCATCTAGCGTTGATCTGATAATCGAGCGAGCTTTGCTATCTCTCGCTTTCCAGTCCTCTATTTCCTTACGATTTGTAACGGTTCTATCATCGTTTCATTCCTCTTCCGGCTTAATTGCAATGCCACCAGCGATTTCCCATATTCGATGACTTTCCAGAGCGTCTCTAATTTCAATTTTCCAGCGACTATATGTTACCTTCGTAAGCTTCGTTACTCGAATATCTCGAATTATGCCTTCGTCAGTCATCGTTCTTTTCAGTCGTTACTAGCGAACCAATTTCACTTAGCAATACTCGTGCGTATAATAATACTTTTTCAAAGTTTTCCTTAACCTCAAAAACATACGCACATGTCAACCAGCCGAGCACTTTTAAGTCTCATAATCTGTTGAGGAATGAGGTTTTTGTTAAGAGTAACAGAACGTGATTGGCATAAGAATACGTATATATATTTTTATATAATATATGAGTAATATAAAAACAGACTTTCGAGTATCAAAACGTCTCTCGGAAGACACAGAACGGAAGAGGAAGAAGTCCCGTAAGGATAAGAACGTGGTGAAACTCAGCCACACATAAGTGTCGTTACTTGTTAGGAAACGTCCTGAATACGTATTCCCTAACAATGGCTAATCGGACATCACCATGGGCTTCAATGGTAGGATGGAAACGTTCCATACAGCTTCGCCAGGCGTTTGAATTGGTGGACGAATCATCATAAAGATTCACCCAAACATTTTTTAAAATAAATTATTGTTAAAATATATTTTTATACTCTTTTATTTTTCCTTTTTCCTCTTTCTTATCCCAGTATACGAGTATTAAATTTCAGTACGTGACGTTAGATAGCGGCGTCAGTTATCTTATCAGAACACACGCACGCACGCACGCACGCACGCACGCACACACACACACATTTATATTATATACAATTTTTTCAATAATTATTTTTATTATCATTATTATGAAAATTAAAGTGTTAATTATTTCTGCGCCTCCTTCTTTCCTTTTCCCACACGCGTGCATGCCTCGCATTATCTCTCTCTCTCTCTCTTTCTCCCGCGAACGTCATCCTTTTCCCACGCCAATGCGGACGCTATCCTTCTCCTACACGCGTGCATGCCTCGCGCTATCTCTCTCACACCGCCTTGCGAGCGCCGTATCATCCACGTGCATGTTTCGCGCTATCTCTCTCTCTCTCCCAAGTACATGCGAACGTCATCCATTTCCTACACGCGAACGCCTCGCGCCATCTCTCTCCAACGTGCATGCGGACGCTATCCTTGTCTTACGCTCATATGGACGCCTCGCGCTATCCTTCTCCCACGCCTCCTCGCGACATCGCGTTTCCTCTTCCCCGCGGGTTCCTCGCCTATTGGTTTCGCCGCGGGTCCCCCTCCTTCTCTCCGCGGGTCCCTCGCCTACCGGTTAGGTTAGCGGGTCCCTCGCCTATCGGTTAGGACGCGGTTCCTCTCCCCCCTCACCGCGAAACCCTCGCCCATCGGTTAGGACGCGGTCCCCTTCCCCACTCTCCGCGGACCCCTCGCCTACCGGTTAGGATGCGATTCCCCCGCGTGACGTCATACCCCCCGCGCCGTTTTCCCCTCGCCCCTTACCCCCCCTCAAAGGACCAGCGTTAGAACCGGCCTAGATACACTACTAGTATACGTAGGACTACCAAATATACTCAAACGTATATTCAAGAAAAGAAAATACAAGACATAAAAAATTAAATCTCGAAAATTAAAAAATTTAAAGTTAAAAAAATAAAAATTTAAAAATTAAGGTTAAAAAAATAAATACAAAAAAACTTAATGCAAAAAATATAAAGTTAAAAATAATTAAATTCAAAAAATTTTATGCGCAAGAAAATTGACGTTAAAAAATAAAAATAAAAAAAATTTTATGTGCAAAAAAAACTTAGTGCTGTTATGTAAAGTTATTTTAGTTTGTATTATATTTTATTCATAATGTTAATTTTAATTGGAATAACAGCGCTAAGTTTTTTTTAATTATATCGATCGTCAGATCGATGAGATCTGACTTTTGGTTGTAATAATTAGCGAAAATGTAAGCTCGAGATGAGTCCGCGAGTTGGTTGTCGGCACAAGGTCGAGCGGCGGGATCCCGTCCGGCGGAAAGGAAGGAAGAAGGAAGAGGAGCGGCCGAGAGCGGGAGTCCGAGATCTCCAGAAAGCGGGAACCGCCAGGTCGTAATTGTTTTTAATTATTATGGTGCCTTGGCTGAAAATTATCGTTGTTGCCGTTCATGTTCTTTTATCTTTTACGGCAGGAGAGAAAGCGGAGGGCCGGAGGCATCCAGCCAACGGGGGCAGCCACTCCACCCGCGCGAAGCGAAGGAGTCCCCAAAAACGGAGCGGCGAGACGGCTCTCACCCCGGGACCTATTCAATCAAATAGGGAAGGAGGCCGATCGAGCGCTGCCGAAAACCCGCAACTCTAAACAGGAAAACAACGAATTTGGAAACTTACGGGGCGAGGAACCCGACGATACGGCAGCAAGGACAGCCAGGACCGCGAGGACTACAGGACGGCCCTGTGTAACGCGGAAGCGAAAGAAGAAATTAAATTAAAAGTAATTTAATGCAATCTCAAACATTTGTTATTATCTGTTTAAAATATAAGATAGAAATTAACTTTCATATAAATAAAATCTTTAATTTTATAAACTAAATTATTTAAATTTACCTATAATATATATCACATTAATATGTGTTATTATCAAGAGACGCGGTAGCGTCTCGCTAAGTGTATCTTTTGTCGTCTTTTTGTTTACTGTAAACAGACGCTACCGTGTATCATTTACCGGAGTGAGGATGTTTTTTGAAAATTTTAGAAAATGAATTCAAAATATCTCGGACGTCGGACCATCTTTTCGAGGGATGAACATATCAATCGAGAACATGGATTTTTCCGAATATAATAATATGAAAATGACACTGGTAGGTGCACTTGATGTACAGATCTCGATATTTCATATGAATTTTTCGGCCAAAAAGGTATCGACGCCATGTTTTCCAGATTCATTGATACGCCGCTAGATTACGTTGCTAGGCCATTTTCCAGGTTCACTGATACGCCGCTAGATTACGTTACTAGGCCATTTTCCAGGTTCACTGATACGCCGCTAGATGTTTCTCTATTCGCAAGACGCCATATTGTTCTATTCTAGGTTCACTGATATGTATACGCACGCACACATACATACACACGCACATACATACGCAGCGCACACACGCAACGTACACACGCATATACGCATATAACATACGCGCGCACACATGCACGCATAAATACTTACACACGCATAAATACTTACGCATGCATATATGTCATAAATATTAAAACAAAATTAATAATATATTAAATAATAATTTTTCATAATTTATGTAATATACTGCATTCTTTCCGTGCAGTATAGAATAATTAAATTTTTTTAAAAACTGAATTTAAAAAATAAATAATATCTTAGTATATAAACTATATACTTAAAAATAATTATATTTAATAACTTTATTTAAAACTAAAATGTATGCTTCAAAAGATTAATTACAGCAATTACAGGCAATTAAATCGCAATTTATTTGTATAACAATTTAATAATATACATGTAATATATTTAACAAGCCAAAGTAACTTACCATATATTACTTTAATTAATTTGGTATCAAACAATGGGAGATTTCCGCGCTCTCCCCAAGCCGAATAATGTCGAATTGTGTCATCAGTCATCGCTTCCTTCATGCAATACTTTACCGCATCATGTAGGGTGAAACCGCCTACAAAATGTAGATACTCGATCTGCAATACACCAATATCAATTTTTATTTCAAATTATTTTATATTCGTTTTGTCACTACTATAGTTCCATGCTTATCACTTTCTATGGAAAATTTACCGCATTTTCGTATACTTCTTGCGAGATATTGTTAAAATCTATAACTTGTTGAACTGATTTTAACGGAAATAAAGGTGGTTTGGGGGGCATGCTGTTTACTCGTTTGCGTAACAACTTGTCCAACTTATTATTCAAAGTTCTGCAAACATAGAGTGTAATTACTTTACATATTTTTTAATAATATGCTTACTTTAATTTGTACAATTAAATTCTTAGAAATTTATTACAAAATTCCCCCGACAATTTCGCGTTCTTTCATTATAGGAAACAGACTTCAAATGGCATTAAATATTAAATAAAAATATTTCACATAATTATTTTTAAGTATTTACTCACTGAAGATATTCATTCAAGTCCTTGCGTAGACATCTGAAACAATTTAAAAACATATATTACATTTACATAAATGGGAATGTATAATTGCTTATCAATTAAAAAGAATATAAAATAACTGTTACACACAAAAATTTTTTTTTAAATCAGCTTTCGCTAGAGACACTATAAATAACGTCTAATATAGAAATGAGTGAATTTTGATTTCATGAGTAAAATTTTGATTTCAAAATTAATTTACTCTGTTTATTAACTCTGCATTTTTTGATATAATATTTCATATTACATCAATTCTATTTTTCACATTACGCAACTGTATTAAATTATCGTTACTAAACAAATTTTATTAAATTATCCTTGTAGCTTGTATTGGGTGCTTTCCATTAACGACACAATGCGACACAGAGTATCATTCTATCTTCTTTCAATACCAGTGAACAACAAAAATAAAATGATACTCTGTGACGCACTGTGTCGTTAATGGAAAGCACTCATTATGGCGAAGAATATAAGAACGCACACTAATATTATGTGACAAAACCTAATTAAAAAAATGTTTTCTACAAAAATAATCAACTTATTGAAAGTCTTGCTTTGAGACAACATTGTCTAACTTTTCGTGCAGGCGCCTAACATGAAAATATTTAAATATATTATTTGCATCCAAAGACATATATATACAGGGCCTCCTGTTAATTAATAGTTATCATTACAACATAAGACATTTAACTTCTTGAAAAAATCTGAATTTTACTTGATCTGCCTATAAAGATATTATCCTACATGTTACCTGGTTTTGATGTGCTACATTTCGCGGAGCTACAGATTCACAGAACGAAGCAGTTGCAAAAGACTTTACGTAAGAAATTCTTCCATTACGAGACTCGTACACATGTGGACTTGAGGTGGAATGAGGAAAAGATGTATTCTCATTCGTATATACATTGAAACCTGATGTAGAACTCGATGGTAACAATTCAGTATACGTGTTTTGGGGCACTGAATACTGTTCACAAGCTTCAGTGATAATATTTGGCGGATTATACAGCTGTGCAACTGGATTCATTAATTGGAATGAAGGATTATTAATCATGAGAGGAGAAGCATGTTCAGTGAGAATATTGGCAACTTCGATTTCCTTATTAATGTTTAATGCATCTCTTATTTCATTAATATCCTTTTCAATGTTGATAGTCTGGTCAGATCGATCACACTGATCTTTGCGACTTGTTTTAACTTGATCTGATGATGAAGTAGTCATGTATTTTTTAGGCCGTACAATCTGACGAGAAGGATGACCTAAGCTACTGTTACGTCCTGGCGACTCCACGATTCCTTTCTTCCGCGACGTTGCGGTAACGATCGTCAGTTGGTGATAAGAACGAATCGTTCAATAAACAAAGCATCTTGTGCTATACGTTTCTTTTAAATACTGTCATTTGTCAGTAACTACATCCACGAGTATCCGTGGGAAAGACGCAAGGAAATCGGTGATGGAAACCATGCCGGTCTCCTCGGGATAAATGAAAAATAATATCTACCCCTTGCAGTAGAATTTCCGGCGGAAGAACAACGAGATAACAAGAACTTTCAACGAAATGTTTAATAAACTCAGCTGTATTAATACTGATAATAATTTTCTAACGGACAAGTAATAAACACAGCTGCATCAACGTTGACAAAAATAATTATAAGGAAGTAAGACCCTTTTCTAATCAGATCATGTGCGCGAGGGTCCCCCGGAAAGGCTAATGTTTAAGGAACTTTTGAAATAATAACGAACTCACCAACCGACGATCAGCACGGGTAAAAATATGAAAATAGGAGACACCCCCTGCCGAATGAGGACACTGGCACGATTCTAATTCGTTAAAATCTTGAAGAACCCCTACTTTTGCATAATTTCAATTCGTTAAAGTTTCTGAAAGATCCCACTCTTAAAATTAGAAGACGCCCTCAAAAAG